CACCAGAAACAAACAAATAAGTTTAAAAATACATATTTTAAAAAAGACCTGCCTCCACTCCCCGCAGATCTAGCCAACGCATTTTGGCTAGCAGGACGCTCAGTACTGACCATCCCGCTTCTTGCTCTCCCAGCCCCCAGGTCCAAAGTGTCCTGGAGACACGCAGGTGGGTGGAGGGCCACTCACGCCCCACCTGGGCTGCAGGAAGATGTGAACAGCAACATGCAAAACTTAGGAGCCCGAGCAGCTGTCTTGGAGCACTGTGGAAGCCTCATTCCCAGAGCTGAGGAAGTCGCCACGTCTGGGGAGCTTGGGGCACCAGCTGGTGGGTGAGCAGCCAGAGGAGGCAATCTGCTGGGACCAGAGTCTGCGGGGACAAGGAAGAAATGCGCTTATGGAGAGAGGAGGGGAGGAAGTGCAGGCTGGAGCAGAAGCCGGGCCTGGCTCGCCGGAAAACTCGATTTTGTGGAAATCTGGGTCTGAAATGAAATGAGCCTTTGGGGATGGAATTTAATATTGTCTCGGAGCCTTTGTCTTCATTTAGGGCAACGGGATTGCATTTATTGTGGCTTCTCCCTTCGTCCCGGTTACATTTATTTTGGATTTATTCACTTATGGGTCTTGCAACAAGAAGTTGAAATGAGTAAATGTACTTTTTTTTCCCGAGCTACATTAATTTCAGAGTGAGATTCATCCTGCCTGCCGTTCCTTTTATGGTTACTTATGAGCAGCTGAGGCCCCGCTAGAAGCAGCAACCAGGCAGGTGAGGCTGGAGGCTGGCTGGGAGGTCCCAGCCAGCCTGAAACCAGGAATTTCTCAGCTTTGCTGAGCCATCAGTCCTAGGAAAGCAGGTCCCCAGTCCTCCGTCCAGTGAGTATTTTCCTCCAGTGACCGTCATCTGGCCTGGCACATAGTCAGTGTCGAGGGTAAAATTGTGCCCCCTTCAAGTGGTTAGTTGAAGTGCTAACCCCAGTACCTGTGAATGCGAACTTAGTTGGAAAGAGGGCCTTTTCTTTGTAAGGAAGTTAAGATGACAGCGTTAGGGTGGGCCCTAGTCCAGCACCCTGGCATCCTTATTAGAAGAGGGGAACGTGGACACAGACCCCCGGGGAAAACGCCCTGTGACGACAGAGTGGAGCGATGCGGCTGTGAGTCAAGGACCACAGGTCACCACCAGATGCTGGGACAGCCGAGGAAAGACCCTTCCCAGAGCGCCAGACAGAACATGCTTGGACCCCTTGACTCAGGACTTCCGGCCTCCGGAACGGAGAGAATACATTTTCTATTACTTTAAGCAACTCAGTTTGTGGTACTTTGTGACACTAGTCCCAAGAAGCTAACCGAGTAGGGACATGTGTTTGATGAACTTATGAATGAAAAGATCTTTACTCAGCCCCTGCGCTAGGTATGAGGAATGGAGAGGCCTAAGATACTGCTCTTCTTTCAAGAAATCCAACTTACAGATACTAGGACCCTTCCCATGGCTGTGGCCCTTTAGGTCTGGAGTAACTTAAAAGTGGCTCAGAGTGTAGCTGCTTTGCAGGAACTCAGGAGATGTTTGTGTTCATAGGAGACGCCAGGAGAGGAGACACCAAATCTCTGTCAAAGACTTGCGGATTTTTATTTTGGGTTTTTTAGAACATTTGTTTATTCATTTGGCTGCACTGGGTCTTAGCTGCATCGCGCGGGGTCTTCTGTTGCGGCGCGCGGACTCCAGCTGTGGCTCATGGGCTTAGTTGCTCCTCGGCATTTTTTGTTGTTACTGTTTAGTCGCTCACTTATATCTGACGCTTTATGACCCCATGGACTGCAGCATACCCGGCTTCTCTGTCCTTCACTATCTCCCTGAGCTTGCTCAAACTCATGTCCATTGAGTCGGTGATGCCATCCAACCATCTCATCCTCTGTCATCCCCTTCTCCTGCCTTCAGTCTTTCCCAGCATCAGGGTCTTTTCCAGTGAATCAGCTCTTCACATCAGTTGGCCAAAGTATTGGAGGCATGGGGGATCTTAATTCCCTGACGAGGGAATCAAACCCAAGTCCTCTGTGTTACAAGGCAAAGTCCTAACCACTGGACCACCAGAGAGGCCCCCAAAGCATGTGCTTTTGAGCAACAGGCACGCAGCTCTGAGGAGTCTTTCTCCCAGGACTCCCTTTCAGGCCTCCTCTTTGCCAGAACTCCTCTTCCCTCCTGCACCGTCTCCTGCTTCTCCACGGCCCTAACGTCCTCCATATCCTCAGGGAAATGAGAAAGCCCTGAAACACTCAGGGATGGCACACATCCAGGCCTGGTGGGAGGGAGGCTTAGAACGTGGTTTAATCCGGAGCCACAGTCCCAAGCCACTGATGCTTAGGGGTTGGGAGCCCAGAAGTCTCCCTGACGTGGCTGTAGGCTGCCCATACGTAGCCCAGTGGCTGCACTGGCTTGACCTGATCTCCCCACCGCTCTCTGTCTCTTCCTGGCCCAGCTGCCTGTGGGGATAGCCCCAGGGAGGTCTTGGGCCATCACCATGGTCACAGAGCCCTGGGCAGGCAGCCCCATCAGCTCGCAGTAACCTCATCCGTGGCCACCACTGCCAGCTGCACCCAATCACAATGCCTAGTACCCAGGCGACAAGAAAGCTTTCCTGAAGGTGTAAATGAGGATGGGTGAGTGGGAAAAATAGAAAAGAGTGATCTGAAGTCTGGATTTGGGAACGAAGGAGTAATTGAGGCTGGTGGTCAGTGAGGGCAGAGCAGGTCAGGGAGTGGGGGTGGGGAGGGGGGAGGAAGATAGATGCTCTTTTTCCCGAGGAGCCAGTGGTACCCTTGTCCAAACCAGCCAAGGTGACCTCAGGTGACCCAGGAAGTCGGGGTGCAAGGGATTTGAACAGAGTGTCTGAGCCAACACCCCACCCTCTGGAGAACTGCACTCTTCCTCCTTCAAGGTCAGATGCAGAAGAGGGGACGCGTGCAGGGCAGGAGGATGCTGGCCTCCCGAGGACCCCCTCTTCCACTGCTCCAGGAGCTTGCAGGAGTAAACATCATTCTTCTCCCGTGATCAGAAGCAAAAATAACCGTGACATTGTCTCCTGAGATTTTTCTCTTGTTTTTCCTGGAGGCTGGGCTCCGAGGGCACCTCTGTGCCCAGGTAGACCTGCTGGTGTTTACATAATAGCATCTCCTGACATGCACATTTCATGCCAGGTGCCTGCCTGCTTCCGCCAGACAGTTGGCCCGACTAGGTTTCTTGTATTGTTTTTTCCTTGCTGAATTGCCCAGTGACTTAGCTGGATCAAGCAAATTGACTTCTGGGCTAGCTGGCTGCAGATTCTTCTTCTAAAGAAAAGACACGGCGCTGTTGTTTACAGTAACAAGCTAGGTGTCTGCAACCCAACCCCCACCCTGATGGCTAATGCCTGTCCTCTTGCCCACTTCTCTGCCGCCGGCGGTGGGGTGGGGGGGCTCTACTGGGTGGACCCCTCACTCCGTCTCTCCTCTGCACCGTCACCCACCCCAGTCCCACTACCCAGGCCCCTTCCTTCTTTTCCACAAACCTGAATCCAACAACCTGACCCCGTCATGAACGTGTGCTCCCCAGTGTCCTATTTCTCCTGTGCCTGCACCTACCCTCAGTGAAATAGTGATAATATAATAATCTTTTCTAAACATTCTCTAGTCACTATGCTAATCACTAAATCACTGTGCCTAGATCATCACATTCAATCCTCTCAATAAACCCTTGAGGTAGACGCCCATTTTACAGACGAGGAAACTGAGGCACATGACCTCAACCAACTTGCCCCCTGGTACAGAGCTAGCGAGGGGATGCACGGGCGTTAAGCCCAGGACTGTGGCAGGACCTGAGCCGTTAATCCCAACGTTCCTTTAAGTGTTGTCTTAAACACTTTCTCTGGGCATGTGCTTCATCTGCCTTGTTTTGACTTCCCTCCTCTGAGTTCCCAGCATCGTGGGTACATTTCCACAATACACATCACGCTGTGGACATGATTTGCTATATATATGGTGATTTAGTGTTAACCGGCTGTGACTTCCCCAGGGACAGACCGTGTTGGATTTATCTCTGTAACCCAGTAGTTTGACATGTTGTCAAGGCTTGCATTTCATGCCGGGGGTAGCAAATCCCCTCATGGCCCCTGGCCCTGGGCTGGAACACAGCAGCCAGAGAGGGCCCAACAGGGCCTGGAGTCAGAGTTAGGCCCTGACCGAGCTCGTTGGTTGTCTAAAAACCAGCTCACCCAGCTTCAGAAGCCCAGGAAGCATGTAGGCTCGACAGCTGAGTGGTCCAGCATGGCTGACTTCCAGGCTCAACAAGGCCTCTCCACCCTGCGTCTCCCTCTTGCATTTCCTGCAGACAGGCAGCTTCTTCCCATGAAGAATTCATGGTTCTACATGGCTCAAGGTTCTACTCCTGGGTTCTACTCCTGGGTTCAAGTCTGTGGAAAAGAGCAATTCCCATCAAAATCCCAGGCCTGCCTCTCCACGGCCAAGGCTGGGTCGTGCCCGTGAAGCTGATCCAACATGTGAGCAGACAGATGAGGTGTGTTGACCGGCTCGGCTTAGGTTACACGTCCACGGAAGCGCTGGGCCAAGGACTAACGACGAGGTAGACCCAGCTTCCCCACAGACCAGGAGGGGAGAGGGTGGCCTCGCTGATGGAGCCCTCAATCCTGTGATGCCCCCTCTCAGAGGGCGCCCGCAGAGCGTCCTCCAGGAGGCGGCTCTGGGTCATGAATCCAAGGCCAGGACTCTGACCCTCTGGGTGTCTGGACTGGCAGGCTGAGCTGGGTGCACATTTACCCTTGGGTTTGCAGCCACCTTCACCTGCTTGCCCCTGGGGTACACGCGGAACTTCAGCTGAGAAACTGACCAACCGGAGGGTGAGACTGCCCAGCTGGCCATCTCCTCCTACCTTTCCTTTGAGGATCCTTCTTCAGGTATGACAGGCACAAGCCTGGAGTTAGGAAGAGAGGCCTGCCCAGTAAAGTCATCCCTCACACCTCAGCTGGATGATAACGAAACACGCTGCCTTGGGAGGTGGCGAAGGCTTGGTCAAATGAAGTGTACCGACCAGGCCACATGGCCTCGGGACCAGAACGCTTTAGAACTAAAATGCAAATCGGCCTCATTTCACATGCCGATCCGATAAATTGGTGGTAGGCTCTGTGAGTATTAGCTGTTGTCAAAAGTGGATTTTGAGATGAAGTCTAGTTCAGCAGGAAGAGGTCCATCAGTGATGGTGATGTCTGCCACAGACGCAGGATTAGACTTTCAATCCTGCTGTAGAAGTGGCATGGATCAGAAGGCTGGACTCTAGATCCGACAGGTGTTGGAAAGCCTATGACTTTGTGATTGCATTTTTTGTATCCATTGCAGAGCAAGTCGAGTCAGAATTAACATTTTTGGTAGGCAGATTAAATATCTGAGAGGCTTCCCTGGTGGCTCAGTAGTAAATAATCCACCTGCAATGGAGGAGACATTGGGGAAACAGGTTCAATCCCTGGGTCAGGAAGAACCCCTGGAGGAGAAAATGACAACCCACACCAGAATTCTTGCCTGGAATATCCCATGGACAGAGGAGCCTGGTGGGCTACAGTCCACGGGGTCACAGAGAGTCGGACACGACTCTACAAGCTAGAGCAGGAACACGCACTCACTACACCCACTACATGGAGTGAGCACGCATGCTACAATTAGACATCTAAAGCTCACAGAGGTTGCTTCTGATTTAGAGTGCCAGTGCCTAGCCAGCAAGGCTGGATGAGAGTCTCCTGTCTGGCCAATCCCAGGTCCTAGATGCACACTGGACTCAGAAATTTCCAGCAGCAAGTGGGTCTTGAATCAACTGGGTAGTCCTGGGCTTGTCCCGATGTTACCATTTATGTGCTGTGGGACCCAGGACAAGCCCCTTCACCTCTCTGAACTCTTATTTCCGCAAATAAGACGACACTGAGTAACACGATGCTTACCTTAAAAATGGACTGTGGGCTTCAGACCAGGATGGAGTCAAGGGGACTGGATTTACCCTCCTGCCCAAAACAGCAGTAACAATAACCAGAAGCAGACAAAATATAACGAACGACGGTTTTCAAAACACTGAGCTTAATCCCCAAGAAACAAGAAATGTGTGAGGCAGGTCCTCCACCAGCCAGGCTCACTACCATGAAACAACTTCCAGACTATGGGTGAGGCAAAGATTTCATTAGATACAAATCAGTAACATGATCCATCAAAGAGCCCATTGAAAAACTGGGCTTCATCAACATGAAAACTCACGCTCTTTGAAAAAGACTGCTATGTAAAGACAAGACAAAGACAGAGAAAAAAATATTCACAAATCATTTATTACTAAAAGAGATGTCTGGAATAAAGAATTCTCAAAACGCAACAGAAAATCAACAAGCCAGTTAAAAATGGGCAAATGATTTAAACAGACATTTCACCAAAGAAGATATCTGGATGGCAAATAAACACACACACACACATACACACACATGCTCAGCATTATTAGGCATTAGGTAAATGCCAATTAAAGCCAGTGTACATATTAGAATGGCTAACCATGGAAGAGTAAACATATTGAGTGTTGGTGAGGATGTGGGGCAACAGGAAATCTCATACACTGCTGAGGGCAATGTGAGATGGTACAAACGCTTCAGAGAACAGTCTGGGGCTCCTTCAGTTAATCATGCCCCAACCACATGGCCCAGCCCTTCCTGGGTGTTTAACCTGAGAATAAAGGAAGCCAGTGTTCCTTTACTCTCCCTGGTCTTCCCAGGCGGCTCAGCGGCAAAGAATCCGCCTGCCGAGCAGGAGACCAGGTTCAGTCCCTGGGTCGGGAAGATCCCCTGGAGAAGGAAATGGCGACTCACTCCAGTATACTTTCCTGGAGAATCCCATGGATAAAGGAGCCTGGCGGGCTACAGTCCATGGGGTCGCAAGGAGTCAGACACAACTTAGCCACGCAACAGCAGTTTTCATACCAAGACTTTCACATAAACGCTCATAGCATCTTTATTCATAAACATGAAAAATCGGGAAGACCCCATGTCTATCAACAGGGGAATGGATACACAAACTGTAGAATGGCCGTAAGATGTAATATTAGCCATCAATAAAAAGAACAAACTGCTGATACATGATACAACGTGGCTGAAGCTCAAAATGCTTATACTGAGTGAAAGAAGGTACCAAAAAATAGCCCGTGCTGTACAGTTTCATTCATATAAAACTCAAGAGGATACAAACTGATTTACAGTGACAGAGAGCAGATCAGTGATTCGCCCGGGCGTGGGAGGGATGGTGAGGAGGGGAAGAGAGGAATTGCAAAGGTTCACAAGGAAGCTTTTGAAGAGGGACGTATATTTTCATTGTCTTCATCGTGGTGATGGCTTTACAGGTGTAAACGTGTCAAAATATGGCCAATGCATCACTTTAAAGATGCACAGTTTCTTGTGGGTGAATTACGATTCAATAAAGCTATTACCAAAAGGGGGGGGAGAACAAAAGTTTATTGAGGTTACTAACTGATGTAACATGCAGTACCCCCCCATTGGTCTCTGTGGTATTGATGGGACTTTCACTACTGAGGGTGGAGGCGGGCGGGGGACAGTTCTCACACCGCTGTCCCTGAGTTCACCCACAGCGCCGAGTGCCCACCGGGGCCAGACGAGTCTCTCCCCTTTAATACTCTGCTCCCAAGCAGGAGCCCCACAGGATGCTGGCATGGTTCGTCGAGCAGAGGGCCAGTAAGAGGGAAGATGGCCAGGGACAGGGAGACCGGGAGTTCTTGGAGCAGCAGTGACTGAACGGACCCCAGGGCGAGGCCATCTGCTCCCCGTCTCCAGAAGAGGCTGGTCCTGGGTCTCTCTCCACCCAGCATCCCCAGGGATGTGAAAGACGGACTCACCTGAAAAGGCTGCTGGTGGCTCGTGTCATCCAGGTAGGATGTCCCCTGATCACCATCTGCAGGGTTGGTCCAGGGGGCTTCGCCAGTAGGAGCTCCTCAGAGCCCAGACAGGCAGGTCGGGTTCCAGAAGCAAGTTTAAAAATGAGAGCAGGAGCTTTAAGGCCAGAGAGCAAATTCTGACTCACTGATGATTCTTCCAGGAGAGCCTCAGTGCTCCATGAGCAACATGAGTAAAATGCACTCCCTGGAATGAAGATAAAATATAAATAACACCTGTGGAAGAGCAGGCTAAGTCCACATTCAAGAAGTCCTATAGGCAGCCGAAAAATATCCCTCCACACAAAAGATATCCACATTAAATCCCCCAAACCTGTGATGTTACCTTATTTGGAAAAATGGTCTTGCAGATGAGATTATGTTATGGGATTGTGAGATGATCCAAGAATATCTAAACCGTTAGTCACTCAGTCATGTCCAGACTCTTTGCCACCCCATGGACTGTAGCCCACCAGGTTCCTCTGTCCATGAGATTCTCCAGACAAGTATACTGGAGTGGGTTGTCATCCCCTTCTCCAGGGGAATCTTCCCAACTCAGGGATCGAACCCGGGTCTCCTGCATTGCAGGGGGATTCTTTACTATCTGAGTGACCATCTTTTAAGAGAGAAAACAGAGGGATTTGAGACAGAGAAGGGGAGGTGGGGTGGAGATGGAGACAGAGGCTGGAGCGATGCAGCCTGGAGCCAAGGAGTGCTGCAAACACAAGACACTGGAAGAGGCAAGGAAGACACTCTCCCAGCGCCTCCAGCAGAGTGTGGTCCTGCAGACGCCTTGATGTTGGACTCCACCTTGCAGAACTCTGAGAAAATTAATTTCCATGGTTTTAAGTCACCCAGTCTGTCCATCTGCTGTGGCAGCCATGGGAAAACAATGGGGCTGCTTTGGTGGTGGCGGTGCTCCGTGGCTCAGTCGTGTCTGACTCTTGGTGACCCCTGGACGGCAGTCCGCCAGGCTCCTCTGTCCATGGAACTTTCCAGGCAAGAGTACTGGAGTGGGTTGCCATGTCCTCCTCCAGGGGATCATCCCGACCCGGGGATTGGCTCTTGCGTCTCCTGCCTTGGCAGGCAGCTTCTTTACCATGGTGCCACCTGGGAGGCCCCAAGGGGCCCTCAGAGCCAGACTCCCCTACAGCCAGGCTGGAGTCCCCACATCCAGAGCCCCCTTACAGCCAGGCTGGAGTCCCCGCATCCAGCACCCCTCCCTACAGCCGGGCTGGAGTCCCCGCATCCAGAGCCCCCTTACAGCCAGGCTGGAGTCCCCGCATCCAGCACCCCTCCCTACAGCCAGGCTGGAGTCCCCGCATCCAGCAGCCCCCTTACAGCCAGGCTGGAGTCCCCGCATCCAGCACCCCTCCCTACAGCCAGGCTGGAGTCCCCGCATCCAGAGCCCCCTTACAGCCAGGCTGGAGTCCCCGCATCCAGACTCCCTTACAGCCAGGCTGGAGTCCCCGCATCCAGCACCCCTACAGCCAGGCTGGAGTCCCCTCATCCAGAGCCCCCTTACAGCCAGGCTGGAGTCCCCGCATCCAGCACCCCCCTTACAGCCAGGCTGGAGTGCCCGCATCCAGAGCCCCCTTACAGCCAGGCTGGAGTCCCCGCATCCAGCACCCCCCTTACAGCCAGGCTGGAGTCCCCGCATCCAGAGCCCCCTTACAGCCAGGCTGGAGTCCCCGCATCCAGCACCCCTTACAGCCAGGCTGGAGTGCCCGCATCCAGAGCCCCCTTACAGCCAGGCTGGAGTCCCCGCATCCAGTACCCCCCTTACAGCCAGGCTGGAGTCCCCGCATCCAGCACCCCTACAGCCAGGCTGGAGTCCCCGCATCCAGCACCCTTACAGCCAGGCTGGAGTCCCCACATCCAGCACCCCTTACAGCCAGGCTGGAGTCCCCGCATCCAGAGCCCCCTTACAGCCAGGCTGGAGTGCCCGCATCCAGAGCCCCCTTACAGCCAGGCTGGAGTCCCCGCATCCAGCACCCCTTACAGCCAGGCTGGAGTGCCCGCATCCAGAGCCCCCTTACAGCCAGGCTGGAGTCCCCGCATCCAGCACCCCTTACAGCCAGGCTGGAGTCCCCGCATCCAGCACCCCCCTTACAGCCAGGCTGGAGTCCCCGCATCCAGCACCCCTACAGCCAGGCTGGAGTCCCCGCATCCAGCACCCCTTACAGCCAGGCTGGAGTCCCCGCATCCAGCACCCCCCTTACAGCCAGGCTGGAGTCCCCGCATCCAGCACCCCTTACAGCCAGGCTGGAGTGCCCGCATCCAGAGCCCCCTTACAGCCAGGCTGGAGTCCCCGCATCCAGCACCCTTACAGCCAGGCTGGAGTCCCCGCATCCAGCACCCCCCTTACAGCCAGGCTGGAGTCCCCGCATCCAGCACCCCTACAGCCAGGCTGGAGTCCCCGCATCCAGCACCCTTACAGCCAGGCTGGAGTCCCCACATCCAGCACCCCTTACAGCCAGGCTGGAGTCCCCGCATCCAGCACCCCTACAGCCAGGCTGGAGTCCCCACATCCAGAGCCCCCTTACAGCCAGGCTGGAGTCCCCGCATCCAGCACCCCTACAGCCAGGCTGGAGTCCCCACATCCAGAGCCCCCTTACAGCCAGGCTGGAGTCCCCGCATCCAGCACCCCTCCCTACAGCCAGGCTGGAGTCCCCGCATCCAGCACCCCCCTTACAGCCAGGCTGGAGTCCCCGCATCCAGCACCCCCCTTACAGCCAGGCTGGAGTCCCCGCATCCAGCACCCCTACAGCCAGGCTGGAGTCCCCGCATCCAGAGCCCCCTTACAGCCAGGCTGGAGTCCCCGCATCCAGCACCCCTCCCTACAGCCGGGCTGGAGTCCCCGCATCCAGCACCCCCCCTTACAGCCAAGCTGGAGTCCCCGCATCCAGCACCCCCCTTACAGCCAGGCTGGAGTCCCCGCAGCCAGCACCGCTGATGTTTCAGGTCCGGTTACTCTCTGCAGGACTGCCCTGTCTGTAGGACATGAGCAGCGTCTCCGGCCTCTGCCCCCCACACACCAATAGCTACCTTACGCCCTCCACTGACAACCAAAACCATCCCCAGGTGTTGCCAAATGTTCCCTGGGTGAGCAACATCACCCCCAACTGAAATGATAGATCCACCGCTTAGGCCAGCTCTTCTGCCTCCATTTCAGCAGCTGGAGAAAGGAAGCTGGTGGCCGGGGGTGGAGTGGGGACGCTGATCCGAGCCTCTATCTCATAGGACTTTCTCTTCAAGAACAACTGCTTGAGTCCCCATGTGCCAGACACATACAAGGCCCTGGGGCCACAGCAGTGAACCAAACAGATGTGACGTCTGCTTCACGAGTTGCAGTCTAGTGGATTGTGCTAAGGGTAAGTTGAAACAAGACATTGAAATAACCTGATGCAAGCCTGTCCCATAGTATGTATTCGACAAATGCCTCTTAAGCTATTAATCATTTAAGCATCAGTTTCATCTTTAGCATAATCCTGATTAGCCTTATAAATACTTACTGCCATGCCTGGCACAGAGAAAGGTCAAGATAAGACAGAAATGGCGATGACAAAATAAAAGGACATGTGGAGTGCACAGATCACAGTGTCTGGTCCTCTGGAGGGGATCTGGCTTCTTTCCTTCTCCTCCAGAGGCATGTAGGAGTTAGCAGAAATTTTTGGGAGAGAGTCCAGGTCTCCTGTCTCACAGACTAGAATAACCTGCTTTGTTGTATCATTCACTGGGGTCCCACCCTACCCTCTGCATCAGCCAGGCTTTTATAGCAATAATGTTGTGCTGCAAAGAGCATAAACTCTCAGTAACTCCCAACCGTAAGCATTTGTCTTCATGATTGCGGGGCTCAGCTTGGCTGTGGTTCAGCAGCTCTGGGCTGGACTAGGGCGGCTGCTGTGCCCCAGATGCAGGTTGGGTTCAGAGCTGACCTTGGGGCAGTCGTTCTGGAGCCTCGGGCAACTGCTTAGTCATAAGAGCAGAAGAGATTAAGCCAACTGACACATGCATACTTAAGGCTCCTGCCTGGTTTATGCCTGCTGACTTTGCCTTTGTCAAAGCTGCTCATCAGGGGATGGGGACACTCTGCCATGGTGGAAGGTGAACAGTTTCTGAATGTCTGCTGAACAGTAACCCCAAGTGTCCCACCTCCCTCCAGGAAGGACCTGCCTTAAAATGCCTGAATGAATGGATGTGAAACTCACTCAGTCCTGTCTGACTCTTTGTGACCCCATGGACTGTAGCCCGCCAGGCTCCTCTGTCCATGGGTTTCTCCAGGCCAGAATACTGGACTGGGTAGCCTTTCCCTAGGGGATCTTCCCAACCCAGGGATCAAACCCAGGTCTCCTGCATTGCAGGTAGATTCTTCCATCTGAGCCACCGGGGAAGCCCAAAATGCTCGAGGCTTAGAGGAATAAAAGGATTCGGCTGGAGTGGAGGACCAGCAGTTCCAGGCTTGGGTGGGACCCCGAAGGAAAACAAAGACGGAGGTGGAAGGAGCAGAAAGTGGTGGGGGATGAAAATGCACGAGCTGGCAGCGGCACTGGGAGCCCCAGGGCCTGGACCCCACGTCCTGACACGAAAGGCTGTGCATCCCTGCTTCCGGCATCCTCTTTCTACAGCCGCCCTGCACCAGCCAGCTCAGGACCACAGAGGTGCACTCCACCTGCATCTGTTATCGATATTCAATTAAATCCAACGGAGGGACAGAAAAGGAGAGGGGAAGAAAATGCAGCCAAAATAATAAATCGGGTTTAACTGTGATTGATCACCCCCTGACCACAAGCTGGGCAGAGCTCCCAGGCCAGGAGCTGAAACCCCCAGGAAATTGTTCCATTGCTGGAATTAATCTATGCGGGTTTCAGAAATCACTGGAACAGGCTCTGTATCATTGCCATGTGTTGCGATGCAGAGGCCATAGACCTCCTTTCCTCCAAATATCACCGCCCCCCCCGCCCCCGGCTTTAGTCTAAAAGGCCACCACCGCTGGAGCAGTCCCTTGGGTTCAGCACCGCCCTCTGTAGGTAAGATGTGGAATTACAACAATTCACACCGCCTCTTGTCCTTTGTAGTTTTCCATCTCTATTATCTCGACTCCTCACTGGTGAAGCTTAGCAGATAGATATCATGCGCATACTCTGTATCAGGCGCCTTGACGTGCACAGAGATGCCACGGTGAACAAAATGCCTACACGCTCAGATCTCGAGGTCTGGAATGGGATACGGCCGCCGAAACAGCCAATAAGCACGTTCTGTGACAGTGCTAAGCCAGGATGCACCGCTGTGTGGGGACACGAGGGTGGGGCACGCATCATCAGGGCGTACTTCCTGGAGGAGGTGACATTTCGCTGAGACGGTAGTACTGAGTGGGTGTTGGCCTAAAGAAGAAATAAGAGGAGGGGACGGCCAGGCGGGGGAGGGGGGAGTCAGGAAACGTTCCAGGCAGATGGGGTAGTTGTGGCTGCATCATAGGCACCTCATATGCCAAGGGCCCAGCCCAGGGTCTGGCACACAGGAGGAACTCTCTCTACCCTTATGCTCACAGCTGACTATCATATGACTTCCCAACTGCCAGAGCAGGGACTCGTCCCCCGCATCCACCCAGGTAGGGAAACACCGGCTCAGAGGAGGGATGCCTGCCCGCAGTCAGAGTGAGCCAGTGGGTGGCAGCCCCCCAGAGCTGCTCACAAGGGTCAGAAGGCTTGAGTAGTGGTCTCAGCTCTTCCAGGAAACAACCATCTCTCCTTGGCAGGCCACTTCCTGTTCCTGGCCTGGGGGTTGCTTGTTGGACCATGGATGGGGGCTGAACTGAAGCAACAAGACCCCCTGCAGCCCTGCTGCTCTGGGATGCTACAATCCACTGCAAAGCAGGATGATGCTGAGGCTGCTGTGAAGAGCTGAGGCTGGTCCCTGATCTCTCCCACCCACCAGGTCTGGGTGGTGGACGCGCCCTCCACTTGCCCCGCCTTCTTTTGGTCCTTGAGAAGAGAGAGGCCGGTCAAGGTCTCTGGAAGGCAAAGCCACATCATCGCAGCCAGATTCTTAGTGGGGAATATTGGAAGAAAACCACCTTCCACAAACCACGGTGCCCATCCTCACACTGCCCAGTATTCCTGGGTGGCCCAATATAATCCCTTAATATCCCCAAGCCTCAGTTTCCCCAGCTGCATATAGGAAAAGTCACTGTGACTTCTCCCCCTCCCAGGATTCTTTTGAGAACCGGCCTATGAATGAGATGGCCGAGTGGCCAACACGCCCCAAGCAACCAGAAGCCTGCCCGTTCCTCCTGGCACCAAGAGTTGGGCTCCGTCCCCCTGACTGCTTCAAAAGACACCCTGCCAGCAGCTTCTTGGACAGAACGCTCTGCCAGAGCCTTCAGCTTCAGGAGGCTGGCATTCATTCTCACTCGACGGCTCCACTGGAGAGAGGTGGAGAGGGCAGCTTAACTCGGTTTGGAGAGGGGAACCGGACTGACCACGTCTCTGTGTGTCCCCAGGACCAGGAGCCTAGAGCCTCCCCCCGTCATTGCAATACCTGCCACATCTGGATGAAAAGATTCAGCCGGAGGGCTTTCCCTGGTGGTTCAGTGGTTAAGAATCCGCCTTGCAATGCAGCAGATGTGGGTTTGATCCCTGGCGTGCACGCCTGCTAAGTCACTAAGTCGTGTCCAACTCTGCGGCCCCATGGGCTCTAGTCTGCCAGGCTCCTCTGTCCATGGGATCCTCCAGGCAAGAACACTGCAGTGGGTTGCCAGACCCTTCTCCAGGGGAACTTCCAGACTCAGGGACTGAACTCACGTCTCCTGCGGCTCCTGAATTGCAGACATTCTTTCACTGCTGAGCCGCCAGGGAAGCCCTCAATCCCCAGACAAGAAACTACAGTCCTGTGATCTGAGCCTCCTACTGAGCCTCGTGCCGCAGCTGGAGAGTCTGGGTGCCTCAACGGAAGGTCCGCACGGCATGCAGCCAAGGTCCTGTTTGCCGCAACGGAGACCTGATGCAGCCAAATAAAGCAGTAAATAACTCCATAAAATAAAATTTTAAAAAGGGAAGATTCAGCAGGTCTTCCAGATGTGCCAGACATCCACCCCTGGACATCTGGCTCTTGGAACACTCTTGAGCAGCACAGGGAAATGGAAGCTCACTTTCCCTAGCATTTTGTCCTCCAGACGTGTAGCCGTCTCCACAGAGCATGCTTCTGGAGGACCAGGAGCGTCTCCTGCTGAAGCCGACGAGCAAATGTGCAAGCTCTGGAGGGTGGAAAATGGCAGCCGCCAGCCACCTCGCTCTGATGAGCTGTGAGCCGCTTCGCCACCCACCCTGATCCTTCCAGCCCCTCGCCCATTCTTCCCTGTACTCGCTTTCAGTGCCAGCTCCCTTGTGCCGAGGGTGGTCGAGAAATGTCAACGGGAAAACAAGAAAAGGAAACATAGAAGCTGATGGCTTGTGATGCCGCTAACATAAATTCACGTGTTACGCCTGTTCTTCTTTTCCTGGATGGAAGCAGCACTTGAACCGTTTTTCACTAGAGCTTGCCCGTTTTAGTTAGCCAAGTGCTGGGCGCTGTCCGTGCGTTATTTAGTTTAGTCCTAGAGGCTGCATCACAGTGTGGGTTCTACTAGAGGCACCCTTGATGGGAGAGGAAATTGAGGCACAGGGAGGTTAAGCAACTTGCCAAAAGTCACACAGCTACGGAGGCCAAGACGGACCCCAGGTCCGTGTGCTCCTGCCCCAGAGTACACCTTCTCTGCCAAACGGGTCAGTGCAGAGAAGAATGGCTATTTATACAAGCATACGGGATCAGTGATGCCCCCAAACATGCCAGCGGATGGCCCCACTTTAACAAGCCCCACAGGTGAAGTTGAGGCAGGGTTGGGATTAAAGAAAGGAAGGTGAGGCAGGATGGTGCAGGATCAGATCTCGTCTATACTTCAAATTTTGACATTCTGTTCACCATGGATTTTTTGCCAACAAATCCATGCTGGCAAAATCCAAACAAAGCTTTGTCCGTCTAGTCAAAGCTATGGTTTTTCCAGCAGTCAAATACAGATGTGAAAGTTGGACCATAAAGAAGGTTGAGCGCCGAAAATTGATGCTTTTGAACTGTGGTGTTGGAGAAGACTCTTGAGAGTCCCTTGGACTGCAAGGAAATCCAACCAGTCCATCCTAAAGGGAACCAGTCCTGAATGTTCATTGGAAGGACTGATGCTGAAACTCCAATACTTTGGCCACCTGATGTGAAGAACTGACTCATTGGAAAAGACCTGATGCTGGGAAAAATTGAAGGCAGGAGGAGAAGGAGACGACAGAGGATGAGATGGTTGGATAGCATCACTGACTCAATGGACATGAGTTTGAGTAAACTCTGGGAGAGGGTGAAGGGCAGGGAAGCCTGGCGTGCTGCAGTCCATGGAGTCGCAAAGAGTCGGACATGACTTAGCAAATGAATAACAACAATATGGGTTTTTTGCATTAAATTGAATAGTTTAAAGTACATATAAGATTAGAATGTTTTTACCTTGATTGATCACTAAGATTTTGGGAACCCCCTTCAATTTTGCCCTCAGGGCCTACCCTCACTGGAGCCCCAGCCAGCACTGCAGATTCCTTACTTTGTGTCCACACTGGGTCAGGAGTGGGCAGTGATGAGCTTCATCATTATGGTGCCCACAAGGTCTCGGGGAAACAAGGAAGCCTCTTGTCTGGGGAAGGACCCAAGCAGGTGTGGTTCGTGGGAAGCAGGGCCAAGTAGCTCTGAGGGCAGATGAGGTGATGACAGTGCTGGGCCCGAGTCCTGTCTCTGTGGCTCAGTAGCTGGGGCAGCGTGGACAAGTTACCTGACTTCCCCCGGCCTTAGTTTCCTCACCGTTAGAACAGGCTCGGTGACAGTACCTAGCTCCCCAGATGGGCAAGCATCAATTCATGCAAAGCACCTGGAACAGACCCCGCAGAGAGCACTCTTACAGGCTTAGGTGTGATGATGGATGCAGCCATAACGACTCTGCACAAACCATGAGCACCTGGGGAGCTGGGAGGTCAGAGAGCAGGAGACAGGCCGGAGGCCAGCTGGTGATGCGTGGGGCCTGGACTGGAGGCCAAGCCTGACCAACCGTAGTTTGGATTGAACACGTCGGGGAGCGGTGGCACTCTGTTCAGGCTTCCTCGGGAAATCAGATGATTTTCTACATCAATTCATCTATTTTTAATGGTGGTAAGATAAACGCATCAAATGTACCATCTCGACCATTTCTAAGTGTACAATTAAGCGGCATTCACACCCTCACGTTGCCGGGCAGCCATCCCCACCGTCCATCTCCAGACCTTTTCTCATCTTGCAAATCTGAAACTGCATACCCATTGAACACTAAACTCCCCAATCTTACCTCCCCTAGCCCGTGGCAATCATGATTCTACTTTCTGCCTCTATGAATCTGATTGCTCTAAGTACTTCACATAAGTGTGATTGTACAGTATTTGTCCTTTTGTGACTGTCTGGTTTCACTTAGCCTAACATCCTCAAGGTTCGTCCATTTTGAAGTGTCTGACAGCATAAAATCTGATAATTTTGCAAGTTCTGGAAACTACCTGGAAATGGATGGATGGATGGAGGCATGGAAGGAAGAAAGGAAGGACAGATGGAAGGACAGATGGATGGATGGGTGGATGAATGGATGGACAGATGCTACTCCATCTAGCAGATGGACAGATGGATGGATTCATGCATGATTGGATAAACCAGAGAGGCAAAGTTACCAAAGAAACTTTGAACTTGGTAAAAATTTAAAATACATATAACATATAGTTTAAAATACATATAACATTAAAATATCTTTACCTTAACTACCGAGATTTTGGGAACCCCCTTCAACTTTGCCCTCAGGGCCTGCCCTCCCCGGAGCCCCAGCCAGCACTGCAGATTCCTTACTTTGTGTCCACACTGGGTCAGGAGTGGGCAGTGATGAGTTTCATCACTAGGTTGCCCACAAGGTCTCAGGGAAACAAGGAAGCCTCGTGTCTGGGGAAGGACCCAAGCAGGTGTGGTTCGTGGGAAGACAAACAGATGGTTGGGCAGATGACTGCACAGGTGGAAGGATGAATGTCAGCGCTAGTATTCAGGTGAGTGGACTGAGAAAGAGACAGTCAGATGGGATACAGTCCCGAGACAACATCACAGGGCTCACCCGAGAGCACACAGAAGCCCCCGGGAGGGCCTGAGGATGCCCGCTGAAGACGTCACAGATGCCAAAAGCCTTCAAAGCCACACTGCAGGCGAGTAAGGTGGAGGCGAGAAAGCAGCTTCTTTCTTGAGTGGAGGGAAGAGAAGCAAGGCATTCCAGACAGGGTACGCAGGCCCCGAGGTGCAGAGGAGGAAAGTGCAGGACAGAGCAACTCTGAGCCTCCGGAATAGGGAGGAGAGGACGTGGGTTTGAATCAGGCACCGCTGGTTATTAGCCATGGCAGGCACACTGCTCCACTTCTCAGAGCCTCAGTTTCCTAAGCTGTGAAATGGGCACTTTGACGGCATCAAGCTCTGAGAGCAGAATCGAGGATCCAGTAAGAATGTCAAGCATGAAGCTCAGAGTAAGTCCTCAAGAAAGTGTCAGCGCCTCTCCCGCCGCGGGCCCCTCCCTCCTGGGGGTGCTCACTGGCTGACGCCCTCCGGGAGGGGCCTCTGCCCCTGCAGGGGGGCTGAACCCCAGGTGGCTCCCTCCTGGGACCCCACCTCCACCGCCCACTGGCTGCGGCTGCTCTTCCCCGCTCACCACCCTAATACTCTAACGTGCACCTGCCATCACTTTATTCACGAAGATTTGCATCGATTTTACCGTGAACGGTTATGAATTCAGCATGCAGAAAAAAATAACATTGATCCCCTGCCTCATGATCTGTCTCTGAGCTGCAAGGTCCGCTAGTGGTTTCTCCCAAGAGTTATGTTGGGAGCCGGTGTGTGGCTCCAGCCAGCCTCTCCGGCCCCCCACCTCCGCCCTCCACATTTGCTCTGGTAACTTGGACCCTCTGCTTTAAAACGGGCGGGTTCAGGGACTGCAGCCCAGGAGCTCACTGCAGGGAAAGCCAGGAGAGAGCAGGACAGACGCGCTAAGAAGGGAGGCAAGAAGGAGGTGGCGGAGGAGGAGGACTGCTGGGCGAAAAAAAGAAGGAAAAACAACATTCGCCAAACATCCTCCCCGCCTTCAGCACTTCGAACGTCCTTCTGTCAGCTTCATAATAGTAAGACTGGTGCTACCAGCTCCATTTACAATGAGGACGTGGAGGGTTGGAGGGGCTGAACCACGTGTAGAGAATCACACAGTAGACCAAGGACCCGGCCAGTATCCTGGCCCAGATGTGGCCGAGAGGGCATTCCCTCCCTCAGGCACAAGGTGAGGGTCGTTGCCCAACAGAACTGAGCAGAAGTGATGTCTGTTACTTCCAGCCTGGCCCTTAGAAATATCCTCCATGTCTCTCTTCCCTGCTTGGAGGCCACAGACAGCGTAGTTGGAAGACGGGGCGGGGCGACTCAGGTGCCAGGAGATTGCAGCACAAATAAGAAATAAACAATTGCATAAAACCACTAAGATGGGGCAGTTTGCATGGATCACCCTAAGACAAGAATTGATGCTGATGCGTGCCAGCACCATGGGGAACAGTTTATATTATCTCCTCATCTTACTTCACAGCCACCCCCGGTGGTAGGCATCACTGTGACAGGTAAGGAGGCTGCCGCCCCCAGAAGTAATGTGCGTGTTCTTCATTCCCCAGCCAGGGATTGATCTGTGCCCCTGCAGTGGAAGCGCCGTGTCTTAACCACTGGACCGCCCGTGAAGTCCCAAGGAGGCAACACTCTGATCTGACCTTTGCCACCATATTCTGGCTTGAGGTGCATAGAAAAAGTGGGGGCTTCAGTCTCCTCTCCTGCCCACGAGGGCTTCATCCTCCAAATCTTGTTTTACAAGTAGGCTGAGATCATCTCTCTCATGGGATCCGCTAAACATGAAAAAATCAGCCAATGCACATCACACTCTGAGTTACAACAGACCGGCAAGAGTTCCAAACACTGCTCTCACTTGACCTGCTTTCAAAGAGCCACCAGCAACATCAGACGTTTGTCATGATGAGGGCCACCACCATCGCCTTCTCCCGAGATACCTCCATCTTCACCATCTGCTCCTTGATGAGTAAGCCAAAGCGTCACGGTTTACACTTTGTTATGGAAGCGCAAGACTGCTACCAAACTCGGTTTTAGCTATGATACTAAAAGCTGCTATAAGAGAAGCCAAGGAACAGTGCTTTACACAAGACGCAAGCTTCTTTCCTGGGTACTAGTCAATCCAAGACTGCTAAGCTAGCTTCGCAATGTCAGAATCAAGGTCTCCTTCAAATCTGTTGCTCTGTTTTTGTCCACGTGGTCGGCATTCTTACCAGCAGGCAGCAGGGAGAGAGGAAGGGTGAGATACGCCTTCTTTTAAGAGCATGACTGGGAAGTTGATCCCATAACTTCCTCTTGAATCTTATTGGTCAGAACATACTCCTGAGGCCACATCTAGCAACACAGCACTATGGGAAATGTAGTTTCCATTTGGCAACCATGTGCCTTGCTGAAACTCACCAGTTCTACTGCTAGAAGAGAAAGAAAGAAATTCATACTGGAGATGGTCATCTGCAGCAAAATCAGCATTCCACAGAGGGGGGGATGAAAGCTCAGAGAAGTTAAATGTCACCCAGGTTTGCACAGCTGGCAAAAGTGATAGAACCAAGTCTCACCCAGCAGTCTGAGTCCACAGCCCATGCACACAACTGCACCGCTTCTCTGCCTCATCAGCACGCGCCACGTTCCACAGACACAGAAAGCAGACTTGCGCTTACCAAAGGGGGCAGGGAGTGGGGGAGAGGCAAATTAGGAGCTAGAGGTTAGCGGATACAAACCACAGCACGTGAAATAGACAGACAGCAACGTCCTGCCGCAGAGCACAGGGAACTACATTCAGTATCTTGCAACAAACCAAAATGGAAAAGAATAAGAAAAAGAATGTGTGTGAGTGTGTGTGAGAATGTGTGAGAGTGTGTGTGAGTGTGTGTGTGAGTGTGAGAGTGCATGTGTGTGTGTGTGAGCGTGTGTGAGTGTGTGTGTGTGAGTGTGTGAGTGTGTGTGTGAGTGACTGAATCTCTGGGGTACACTAGAAACTAACACAGCATTGTAAACCAACTATACTTCAAAACTTTAAAAAACACTCGTAACGTTCCTAAAACAAATGGAATAGTTCAGGAAAGGTTATTTTTATTTTTCCCTGACCCGAGATATCCAGGTCCTTAAATAAAAAGTTGCCACCAACACCGCCTCGACACGTTAGATTCTAAAAGGAAAGTGCAGAAGAAATGATTTCTGGAACATGATAGCCAGGTGATCTCCTGGGTCTCTGGGCATCAGGATCATGTGGGGTCCAGGGATCTGTGTACCAAAGTTTGACAGCCATAGGCTGGTGTTTAAACAAGGTACATGGTACATGGTTGTTTGTGGCATGACTGCAGGTGGCAGCCAAGCAGGGTAAATGCAGCTGCTAACTTATGAGCCAGATCAGCCTGAGTTCAGACTCAAGTTCTACTACTTCCTGGCCTTGTGAGCTTGGACAAATCACTAAAGCTTTAGTATCCTCAGTTTTCTCATCTGTACAAAGGGAGTGAAAATGCCTGCCTCACAGGATGTTCACCTAGTCAGCAAACATATTGAGTACCCACCTTGGATCAAGGACTGTCGAAGGCATTAGACGGACCAAGTCAAACCCCTGCACTCAGGGAGCTTCTGAAGAGACAGAAAGCAGCCAGGAAAGATAATGGAATGTGCAGTATGTCAGATGGTGGTAAGTGCTCCAGAGAAAAACGACGCAGAGAAAGGCCACAGACACTGTGGCAGGATGCAAATTTAGATCAGATGTCCGAAGAAGGAAGGCTTCGCAGAGAAGGTGACATTTAAGTGAGTCAAGCAGATATTCAGGGAGCAGAAACAATTTCCAGTGAAGGGATCAGCATGGCTCTGAGGCAGGATCAGACCGGGTGTTTCTGAGCTGCAGCAAGGGGACCGGCGTGGCTGGAGGGGAGAGAGTGGGGTGGGCAGAGCCGAAGAGGGACGGTGACGTGGGGCCCCGCGATGCAGGGCACCCTGTAAGCCTACTGGCCCCTAACTTATGGCTGACAAAACGGAAGCTGCTGGAAGCTTCTGTGCAAAGAAGTGACATGACTGGGCTTTCATGGTAACAGAATCTTTCTGACCAATATGCAGAGAACGTTCCCAAAGAGGCAAGCTGGAAGCAAGAAGCTGTTGTCTGGGGGAGACAGAAGCAGGGAAGGTGAGAAGAGATGCTGGTGCTCCAGCACTGGCTCCATCTCTAGCTCCCAGGGGTTCATCCTACCCACCCCCCACCCCCTCACAGCCTCGCCGAGAAGAGGAAGACACATGCTGCAGTTGGAAGGAGGCGAGTCTGCTCAGCCCCTTGGAAACCTGCGAGCCTTTCTCTGAAGCTGGGCCTCTCCTGGGAACCTGCACCCGGCCGTGTGTTTGGGGAAGGGAGTACGGCAGTGCCTCCCCATCCCCACCTCAGGTGGAGACGGCATCTCCATGGATTCCTCCGCACGGCGAGCCGGGGGAGCGAGCGGACGTTCTCTTGCAGTCACTTTGTGGAGGTGTCCTCCGCTCCCAGGAGGGACACGTGAGCGAGTACGGCTTCCACGAGTGTCCCTTCCTGGGTCTTTGGCTTTTTGCAGCCCCGACACGCTGCGGACCTGCCCCGCGCCCGCATTCCAGGAGCGAAGGAGGGGAGGTGTGGAGGGGCGAGGGCTGGAGGCGCTGCACCCGCCGGCCCCGTGCGGTCCTGTCGGAGCCAGGCCTCTGGTCTGTGCACCCGTGTGTGAGGCGGGGCTGCGGTGGGTTCCTTCCTCGGCTTCCTGATTCACCCGTGTGTGCGTCTGGCTGCGCAGGGGCGTCCTCTTCTTTCCACGTGAACACTTACATGCAGATGCAAACATCCGTGCATATTGGCAGGGGGGCTCTGCGTGCCTACACATCTGGGTGTGCATCTGGATTTGAGGCAAATGTTTGGGGCCATGCTTGTGTGTGCGCGTGGTGCTTCTAAGATATGCCTTTGGGCGTGCCCACGTGTGTGTGTTCCTGTGTGCATTCGTGCCTCCGCTCTGTCCAAATGCAAGAATGGATGCGTGCGTCCACACCTCCAGGTGCCTAGTCCTTCCCTCCTGGGGTGCGGGCACCCTGCCCTCTCTCTTTGGTAGCTTGAAGGGCACCCCCGTCCCGTGGGGAGGCCTGCGCCTAGGTGGACAGTGAGGCACAGAAAGTCTTTGAGCAAGATGACTTTTTCCCCTACTTAGGCAGCACCTGCAAGGACTGAGTTCAAGGCTGGTCCACAGGGCAGCATCTTTACATGGAGGAGGGGGAGAAAAGGAAGGAGAGAAACCCAGGGGAGCAGGAGGAGAGAGGCAGAAGAGGGAAGCAGGTGGACAGAAAGGGAACCAGCCGGGAAAAGAACGGCTCTGAGCAACGTGTCCCCAAACTGACCAGTTGAAAAGTTAAAAATTGTACCAAACTGCAGGTCACAGGTGTTACATACAACATCCATCCAATGAGTTCATTGGTCCATTTTCAACCAAAATACTGTAATCTCTCTATGTCGGACACCTTGCACCTTACCCCCAGCCCAGTTCTGCATTTTTAGCTCTGCTCCCCATTAATAACATCCCCCCAAAATGCTGAGAAAATCCCACCCAGAGGCAAATGGTTGGTTCTGCTTCTAGCTTCTTCTTGTGACCCAGCATAAGACAAGGACCACTGGCCTTTAAAGCTAAAACACATTGCCTCAAGTCACATCCCTGATCCGACATCCTGTGGCAAGTCGGGTGCTCCCCCCAAGTTTTCTGAGCTCTCCTAGGGGAGCAGTGTCTTGCCATCACTTCCAGCTCAGAGTTCCTCTTCCTGTTGACCTCTCCATCCCTCACACCCCTTCCCGACAGCTGCACCGGCCCAGCTGCAGGAATCCATTCTGCTTTTCTAATTCTCCCCAGACTCACCGGATGAAGCATCACACGTAGCAGCCATGACTCCGTCTGTCCAGCTCTGCGGAGGGTACTGCTCTGAAAGCAAACTTAGAGGGGACCTTCCAACATTCTTCTTATTAAAGAAGACACCCTTCTCCATGGCCACATGCTCCACAGGCTATGTTGCCCAGACGACTATTTTTCTCTCCCCTCCCATTGTCCGGGAGGTGAGTGAGCTGAAGGGTTTCTGGGATACCTCCCAGCTCTGAAATTCTATTGGACTTAGTCCAAGATAATCCTTTACTTGTTGGCTCTGGAAGAATGCAGTCCAGAAACTTACAATAACAAATGGTGGTTTGATCACACCCCATTTCTGTCTGCATAGTCCCTTTCATACTCCCCGTCCACCTCTTCCCTCCTACAGACACCCTTCCTGATGCATTTTATGTGCCTCCTTCTGTCGGCATGCCTTTGTAAAGTGCATATTGCCGTTTTGTATATGCACATTTTCAGGGTACTTAAATGGAATCGCCATCCCGGCCCTGGGTTTTGCAATCCGTCCACATTGCTGCGGGTGCATCTGGTGTGTTGCTTCTAACTGCTCGCTGCCTCACGGTGGCCACGCTCTCATTCTGTCGATCCAGTTGCCCTGTGGAAACTAACATTTTGAACATCTGTCATTTGCCAGACATTGGCCAAGAAAGTCCCAGACTTGAATTTTCAGACTCTCCTCACAGCAGCCTCTGCAGGCAGCTCTGTTAAGGAAACCGAGGCAGCGGTTAAGTGGCGCTCCCGAGATAGCTGAGCCGGGAAGTGCAGAGCAGAAATTTGAGTCTAGGCCATCTGAGTCCAGCGTCCTCTCCTTAAATCAGAACAGCCTGCTCTGGGCCAAATCCAACAGTCCAGAACTAGCTGTGCCTAGGACCGAGCACCACAGTGACAATAATAGTTTCCACCCATTGCATACCTACCATGCGCCCGGGCCTTTGAGTCACACGGGGCTGCCATGTAACGCTGTGCAGGTCGTGCACTGTGCAACTTCAGCGGTACTATCGACCTCGAGTGCAACGTGAACAGCATCCCCTTGGGCAATGGGATGGTGACCATCATCAAGGCTGAAATTTCTACTCCATTTTTACAGTCGAGAAAAGTGAGTCTCAGAGGTTATGTGATCGTCCAGAGGCGCAAGCCAGAGAAAAGCAGAGTGCGGCTCCGAGTCCAAGTCCGCGCAGAGTCTGATTCCAAGGCCACAGCCCTCCTCGCTGGCTACGGCTGCCAGAGCTGTCACTTTCGGCCAAACCGTCAACTGAGCGTGTCTCCAGTTGCTCTGGGGACTGTTCCCCAAGTAGAGATGACGATAGACAAGGTCTGTCTCCAGGAGGTGGGTGCTGGGTCTGGTGTGGCTGCCACACAGACACCAGGTGGAGGTAAGTCGCTCAGTCGTGTCCAACTCTTTGCAAATCCACAGACTGTAGCCCTCCAGGCTCCTCTGTCCATGAGATTCTCCAGGCAAGAATACTGGCGTGGGTTGCCATTTCCTTTCCCAGGGGATCTTTCCGACCCAGGGATTGAACCCAGGTCTCCTGCATCGCAGGCAGATTCTTTGCCATCTGAGCCACCAGGGCAGTCCTGCTTCCTGCTCCTGGGAAGCCCCCGCCCCGACACCAGGAGCCGGGTGTGTGCTCCACGCTCAGCCCCCCCATACTCACCGCCCGGGGCCGGGGGGCCATGCTCCCTTCACCCCACTGCAGCACGGGCTGGATCCCCGCCCACCTCATAAATGGTCACCGAACTCAGCAGGGCGTATGGCCGTGGAGACGAGCAGTGATTCAAAGGAAGGGACCCTTGAGAGGGCTCTAGGTTGTGTTCACAGCATTAAGACAGCTTCGGAGAGAAGCCTTTATTGCAGGCAGAAGAATATTATTTCAGAGCTATTCCCCTGGCCCATTATGGCAAAATAATACAACTTTAGTTTCTATATATTTGTCATGCTTAGTGCACATGTATCTCAAGTATATTTGACAGCATATAAAATTGAGGTGAAATATTGCAAAATTGGCCAATTCTTGTACATATTAAATGTATTTCCTTTATTTGTTACACTTATTTTACATATCTACACAATCCATCTTTGGGACTGGAGAGGCAGTATGTGATGAATCGATACTGGGGTTTACATGGTGAAGGGACTCGCGTTGGGTGTGAAATTTTCTATTTGCCTGGCATCCCCTGGTCCTGATTACAGAGAGGAATGGCCACCACCTTCCTGCCTCTTCTTGGGCAGTTATCTCTTTCAGGGGCAGGGAGCTGCCGTTGTTAATTTGAGGCAATGTCTCCAAACCCCTTCCCTTCCCTTCTTGGCAGGGGCTGGGCACCAGCTTTCTCTAATGATAGAAGAACATTTTACTGGTCTGAGTTTGAAGTCTAATTAGATGGAACTAACCTAAGTCCTAGAGTTCTCATGCTGGGACTTTACGAGACTTTATAAAATCGAACAGCGGATTGCGAGCACTGACATATCCTTCCGTGGCTGCATAAGAAGGTCAAGCTCTATCTGGGAGCCTGGGGTGGGCTGTTCTGTTAAGGAAGAGGGTCTCTCCTTTATCTGGCCCATCCCAGCCCCACCTGTCCGTCCCTGGAGAACTCCACTCAGTCTAACAAGCAGAGTTGGAGCCCAACCACCAAAATCGCACCTGCCCGAAATCTTACCTGGATATTCCAGGCTGGACCAGTTTACTCTCAGGGAAAAGCCCTCTGGAGTGTCGCTGTGGGTGCACTCACCCTGCAGGCCGCTCGGCAACCCTCCCCACAATGGCCACAAAGCAAGACAGCACAGGATCCCTGTTTGTACGTGGCCAAGAGCTCCAGGGAAGGATGGCGCGACCACTCCTGGGGCCCAGGCCACAGGACAGAGGGTATGGATTCAGCCACATGGGTCCTGCATAGAGACGCCTGTCACCACGGTGTTCTCCCATTGAGACTCCCTTGGGCCTACTTCTTAAATATAAGCCCATGAAGGTCAGGGCTCTGATCTTCATATTCGGGCTTGGGATTACCCTTCATCCTTTGAAAGTGAACGTGAAAGTCGCTCCATGGTGTCTGACTCTTTGTGACCCCATGGCCTATATAGTCTGTGGTGTTCTCCCGGCCAGAATACTGGCATGGGTAGCCTTTCCCTTCTCCAGGGGATCTTCCCAACCCATGGATTGAACCAGGGTCTCCTGCATTGCAGGCGGATTCCTTACCAACTGAGCTATCAGGGAAGATTCATCCTCTAGACACTGGAAAGTAGTTTTAGACCCTCCATCAGATGGTATGAGCCTGCAGACAGCCAGCCAGCCACATCTTTTTCCTTGTGGTCAGCCTAGATTCGACTCGTTTCTAGGCCTGGGGCAGACTTGACATCTTCTGGGCTCTTTTCTCTATGCTTAGCTTCCCCCAATGCCCAGAGTGATCCACTGACTGCTTTCTTGTGGGCCTTTCCCCATTGAAAGCTGGGGCTGTGTTTTATTCATCTTTGTATTGTCTCTTCCTAACGTGGCACATAGGAGGTCTTAAGAAAACGGTTAGATGGATGGATGGATGGATGAGATGAATTCTGCAGGTTTCAACACACGGGAATCAGGTCTGCAAGATAGTCCTATGCTTTGCGTCAGCCTCCTCAGTGAAGTGTAACCCATAAAAGCTTCATTAATATCTCAACAACGGAGAGCCCGGGTCGGCCACGTCCCGTCATCCATTAAAGATGAACTCCCTTCGGAGGGTCACGGGGGGGCTAATGCATCTCCCCCCATGGCCCAGCTGCAGCCACCAGCCAGCAGGGAGCCCATTAGGGGAGGAAAGAGCGATTGATCCCTGATGAAAGATGCCTGGGATTTGGGGGTCAGGCAATTCCTGGGCACCATGAAGGAGGGACAGAGGTAAGAGCCTGTACTCACTCTTACCGGCTAGAATCCAGCTGGGCCCGAGGTGAGGTGCATGCTCAGGGTAGCTTAGCCGGAAGGATCATCCAGGCCACTTCCCCCTTTTAGAGATGACAGCACAGGTCCAGACAGGGCAGGTGCCTTACCCAAAGCTCCGCTCTTATAAATTAATTGTAACTGCCCCGTCCTCACCCGTTCTCATACCCACGCCCTTTGCAGGGTGACTGTGCATCTCTACCCACTACAAGAAGGGACCTCGGTCCCCCCTCCCCCATCGCACTCGAACCTGGACTTGGCCAAAAGACCTGTTTGACAAACAGAGGCAGAAATGCTTGTGCATCCGTTTCCAGCTTATGTATAAGAAGTTCTACTCCTCTGGGGTCTCTCCCCCGCTTTCCTAGTTTGATAAAAGTATTGCTGGACTAGCCTGAGGGAGGACGAGCAGAGTCCAATCAACTCAGCTGCCCCAGCCAGGCCCAGACACATGAGCGTCCAACCAAGGTCTGCAAAGCTGCCTAGCAGAACTGCAACTGACCAGGCAGCCGCGTGGGCTGTGGCCAGGCCCGCTCATCTTAGCAGAACAGAGATGACCCAGAGACTCATGAGCCCACATACGTGTTTCCAGTCAACCGTGTGTCCCTGAGGTTCTGCGGCTGTCTGCTCTGAAGCGTCACTAGCGCGGCGGGCACCCGGCCCCTCCTGGAGCGCCAGGGTGCTGTCCCCGCACCGGCCGCGGCCCCACTGCCAGCGCCCCGCCTTCCTTACTTCCACCTCCACCGTGGGAGCCTCAGTGGATGACTCATGGCCTCAAGATTTTAATCTTTCCTTTCTTTTCTTTGTCCTTACATCTATTCTTTTTGCTTACAGTGTGTTTCCCAAAAAAGGACTCTGAGCCAACATTTAAACACTGGAAGGCCTCTTGCAGAAATCTGTCTTTTGAAAAATCGGAAGATGCTGGAACTTGCCTTGCTGTGTGGCACCAGCTGACCATCTGGGCCTCGGAAGCAGCTGCCCCGTCAGACACGGACATGTGCAAGGCGCCCACTCTGACAACAGTCCTCACCTCTGACTTCTGGCTTCCCAGTGCCAAGCCTGAGCACCAGTCATCATCTAGCTTATGCTCTTAGCTTCCTTATTGCAGAGAAATTCCTCCATATGAGTTGCTGTCAAAAGTTGGCAAACAAAAGATAGACCTTGAGGACCTCACGATTCAAGGAAAATAGAGAGCATGTTTCTTTGTGAAAGTGATGGATATTTCCATGTACTTAAAATGCAAACAACAGCCAGTTCCTCTCATTAATACTGGCCCCCGGAGGCTTCTGGAGTTTCTACTCTGGTTCTAGACCAAACTCCTACAGACTCTGGTCCTACTTACCTTTGCGCTCTTCTCTCCCTTCCCCCCATTCCCTCAAACCCTAATTTCCAGACACCCCACCCTGCCCAGACCACTCACTCTGTTCCCACCCTCATGCCTTTGCCCATGCTGTGCCCGCTCCAAACTCAGTAGGAGATGCTCAGACTCACAGCTTCCTCTCAAACCTTACTTCCACCCAGAAGCCTTCCCAACCTCACCCCAGTCAGGACTGCTCTTGCCTTCTCTTGCACCCCACACTGCCAAGCCCTGTGATGAAGCCCTATGTTAACAGCTGTCCCAGAATACACATTGCTACCCCAGCCTAACTGCTCCAGCACAACTCTGCCCTCCCATCGCAGGCACGACTGAGTTGGAGGGGGCAGGGGAGAGGCGATGCTGGTCCAGCTGATGCACCCTCTCCCCCATTACCAGCCCTGCCATAGACTTATTACCCAAAGTAGCTTTGGACTAAAATTGAATGGCCATGATTTGCATCTTTTTGCATTTCATTTGCATAGTGCTTATTTCCTGTCCAAAAATACTGACATTTGCTCACAGTTTGCTTCTGGCTCTCCAGGGCTCCCAGCGCTGCATCTCTGTGCCACTGCCTTCTCACCTTGGGCCCACCACACCTAACCTCACCTAACCACACCTGGAGAAATGCCTGGCTGGGCCAGGCCTGCCAGGGACAGACCCATCTCCCTCTTCCTCCCACAATGCAGCTGGGAGCCTGCCCCCAGAAATCCCCACTCAGCCTCAGCTTGATGTTGGCTGAACTGTTCCCTGCTGTGCCCAATGCCCAGCCTGGATCTAGGCATGCCAGGAAATTGTGAAGAGTCTGAATGAATGAGTACATGCATGACTGAGTGAATGAGTGATTGAACTAATAAGACAAATCACGAAAGTGAGTTGGTAAGCAGTCAGGCATGGGGAAAGGTGAGGAGGTGGGGGGCTTTGGAGCAAAGAGACCTCAGGCAAGCAAGCTCTGCAGAAGCAATTTGCTCAACAGTTTTGAGCTTAGCCCTTGGAGGCTGACAGGTCTGAGTCTGAAGTCTGGAGACATCAAGCAGGTGGGTGGCCCTGGGCAGG